GCACTCTGTAAACACATAGCAGCACCTGTAACACAGTAGCAGCACCTGTAAAAACAGCAGCAGCACTCTGTAACACAGTAGCAGCACTCTGTAACACAGCAGCAGCACTCTGTAACACAGCAGCAGCACTCTGTAACACAGCAGCAGCACTCTGTAACACAGTAGCACACTCTGTAACACAGCACACACCCTGTAACCCCAGCAGCAGCACCCTGTAAACAGTAGCAGCACTCTGTAACACAGCAGCACTCTGTAACACAGCAGCAGCACTCTGTAACACAGCAGCAGCACTCTGTAACACGTGACTTTGTCAATGGTCCAAGTCGGACCGAAACGTCGTCGTAAGCTTCTGTCTTTTATGTGCGGGTTATTTGTGTATCGTTCCAGTCACGGTATTGTGCCTTTTTGTTATTTATTCAGCACTCTGTAACACAGCAGCACTCTGTAACACAGCAGCAGCACTCTGTAACACAGCAGCAGCACTCTGTAACACAGTAGCAGCACTCTGTAACACAGCAGCACTCTGTAACACAGCAGCACTCTGCAACACAGCAGCAGCACTCTGTAACACAGTAGCAGCACTCTGTAACACAGCAGCACCCTGTAACACAGCAGCAGCACTCTGTAACACAGCAGCTTCACGCTGAAACACAGCAGCAGCAACAGCGCGCTGTAACATAGCAACAGCACACAACAACCTAGCAACAACATATTGTTACTCGGCTTTGAGGTCACTCCCGATGACTGGTTTGTGCCCAGGGTAGAGGGGGGCGTCTCCCCTCTCACTGTGACACCCATCCCCCGCACAGTGCTTCGCCAACTAGAAATCCGGCATTTCCTTCGGCCTAAAAGTCTGGCATATTTTCCGTTTCGCCTAAATTTACTCACACTTGTGTAGAACGACACCGGACTTGTTGCGAATTGTGGAAAGTGAAAAAAAATCGCATTTGAATAGTTTTGCTTTGCGATTTGTGTAGTGTGATGGTGAATTGTTGACGAGTTGAGATACTGGAACTTAGATGGTGTCGGAGCACTGGATGACCGTGCGGTTCCAGCGCTCTCTGGATAAAGCTGAATAAAGCTTTACTTTCCACGTGCTTCTGTTTCTTAGTTTTCTTGTCTCCACTTTTCTTCCAGTGTTGCTTCGGCTTTTTTTTACCCTTCGTCTTGTTCCTTGTTTCTTTGTCCTGGATTTTCTCCTTTTTTTTAATCTCCTCTTCCTCTCTTTTTTTTTCATCTTTTCATCTGGTCCTTCTTCCTATACTTGTCTTCTTTCATCTTCCTCCTGTTGCTTCTTCAGTCACCTTTGTTTCTTCCCTCTTTTCTTCATATGCAGATTTCTCTCTCTCTCTCTCTCTCTCTCTCTCTCTCTCTCTCTCTCTCTCTCTCTCTCTCTCTCTCTCTCTCTCTCTCTCTCTCTCTCTCTCTCTCTTCCTCTCTCTCTCTCTCTCTCTCTCTCTGCTTTCGTACGTTTCTTTTTCTTCCCTATTCTCTCTTGTGTGATATTTTACCATTTATCTCGTCTCTCTTCGTCCACTTCTCTTCCTTTTGTCACTTTTTATATTATATTCACATCATCTTGTCATTTTGTATCCTTGCTTCCTCCTCCTCCATCTTCCTCCTCCTCCATCTTCCTCTTCCTCCATCTTCCTCCTTCTCCATCTTCCTCCTCCTCCATCTTTCATCTTCCTCCTCCTCCATCTTCCTCCTCCTCCATCTTCCATCTTCCTCCTCCTCCATCTTCCTCCTCCTCCTTCTCCTCCTCCTCCTCCATCTTCCTCCTCCTCCATCTTCCTCCTCCTCCATCTTCCTCCTCCTCCATCTTCCTCCTCCTCCATCTCTCCTCCTCCTCCATCTTCCTCCTCCTCCATCTTTTTCTTCTAAGTCAACCATCATATATTATATTTTCTTATTATACATAATTCAGTATCTCAGTGTCCTTATTGCTTAAATATTTTAATGATTTTTGAATTATGGAAAATATAATTCTGTAGTGTGTGCGTGTATGTGTGTGTGTGTGTGTGTGTGTGTATGTGTGTGTGTGTGTGTGTGTGTGTGTGTGTGTGTGTGTGTGTGTATGTGTGTGTGTGTGTGGTGTGTGTGTGTGTGTGTATGTGGTGTGTGTGTGTGTGTGTGTGTGTGTGTGTGTGTGTGTATGTGTGTGTGTGTGTGTGTGTGTGTGTGTGTGTGTGTGTGTGTGTATGTGTGTGTTGTGTGTGTATGTGTGTGTGTATGTGTGTGTGTGTGTGTGTGTGTGTGTGTGTGTGTGTGTGTGTGTGTGTATGTGTGTGTGTGTGTATGTGTGTGTGTGTGTGTGTGTGTTCTCACCAAGGTGTATTTGCCTGGGTCGAGCCACGGTTCACGGCCCCCGTCCCTGACGTTGGCTTAACCGGCGTTGCATCCCCCGGCTTCACCATACCTACTCTTGAAGCTCTGGTTGGCGTGTGCCTTCGCCGCGTCCTGGTCTAGCTCATTCCACGTCTCATTCCAGGGATTTTACACGTCGTGATTATGTCTCTCCTTTCCTCCAAATCACATTAATAATCTCAGACGTTGACATTTATTCTGCTGGAGTTTACCTGTGTGTGACTTCTGACCGATCTGAATGTATATTCTGCCTCGTAACCTGGTCTGACAGCAGCTTCCTCACTGACTCGTCAACCAGTCTGTTGGTGCCAGCGGCTGGACGTCACCAGACTAAAGAAATATTTCTCGCCTAGATAAAAAAAATCGCCAGAAAAGTTAATATTTTTGACGATAATGAATTTTAAAGTTAGCTTGGTGCCCGTCGTCGTCTAGCAGTAAATAGGTACGTTGGTGTTAGTCACTTAAACCTGCTGCCTCTATTCACTCGGCTATATATAGGTACCTAATACCTGGAATATACCGAATATACATTGAGTGTGTTCCGGGGGTCAAAGCCCCCGCGACCTGGTCTGTCTCCTGACACCTGCTGCCCATCTTCACCATGCAGATTGTAGGTACCTGGTTGTTAGTCATCTGTTGTGGGTCGCATCCTGGGGAAGAGAACCAGAGGACTACAAAGGAAACTGACTTTCTATAAGCCAGACTTGACTTTCTATAAGCCACACTTGACTTTCTATAAGCCAGACTGCTGGACTTTCCATAAACAACACGGCTGGAACTTTCCATAAACCACAGTGCTGGACTTTCCATAAACAACACGCTGGAACTTTCCATAAACCACAGTGCTGGACTTTCCATAAACAACACGGCTGGAACTTTCCATAAACCACAGTGCTGGACTTTCCATAAACAACACGGCTGGAACTTTCCATAAACCACAGTGCTGGACTTTCCATAAACAACACGGCTGGAACTTTCCATAAACCACAGTGCTGGACTTTCCATAAATCACACTGCTGGACTTTCCATAAACCACAGTGCTGGACTTTCCATAAACCACACTGCTGGACTTTCCATAAACCACACTGCTGGACTTTCCATAAACCACAGTGCTGAACTTTCCATAAACCACACTACTGGACTTTCCATAAACCACAGTGCTGGACTTTCCATAAATCACACTGCTGGACTTTTCACAAACCACAGTGCTGGACTTTCCATAAACCACAGTGCTGGACTTTCCACAAACCACAGTGCTGGACTTTCCATAAACCACAGTGCTGGACTTTCCATAAACCACAGTGCTGGACTTTCCACAAACCACAGTGCTGGACTTTCCATAAACCACAGTGCTGGACTTTCCATAAACCACAGTGCTGGACTTTCCATAAACCACACTGCTGGACTTTCCATAAACCACACTGCTGGACTTTCCATAAACCACACTGCTGGACTTTCCATAAACCACAGTGCTAGACTTTCCATAAACCACACTGCTGGACTTTCCATAAACCACACTGCTGGACTTTCCATAAACCACAGTGCTGGACTTTCCATAAACCACAGTGCTGGACTTTCCATAAACCACACTGCTGGACTTTCCATAAACCACAGTGCTGGACTTTCCATAAACCACACTGCTGGACTTTCCATAATCCACAGTGCTGGACTTTCCATAAACCACACTGCTGGACTTTCCATAAACCACACTGCTGGACTTTCCATAAACCACACTGCTGTACTTTCCATAAACCACAGTGCTGGACTTTCCATAAACCACAGTGCTGGACTTTCCATAAACCACAGTAGTGGACTTTCCATAAACCACAGTGCTGGACTTTCCATAAACCACACTGCTGGACTTTCCATAAACCACACTGCTGGACTTTCCATAAACCACACTGCTGGACTTTCTTACATCACCCTGAGTTCAGAACATTTCAAGGTTGATAATAACAAGGGAGACTTAATCTCCCTTAACACGGTCGTCGTTATCACGTCAGTTAATATGGAAGATTCGCAGCGAGTCCCGGGGCAGGTATCTTGTTTACACATGTGCGATACTACGGAGGGAGAACTTTAGACGATGTTTCGACCCGTCATGAACCATTAATAAGACGTCTCGGTTAAGGATGGACCGAAAGTGTGAGTTATTTGTGAATTGTTCAGTAACTGTGTTGTGACTGTTGATTGTTCAGTCACTATATTGTGACTGTTGATTGTTCAATCACTGTATTGTGACTGTAGATGATTGTTCAGTCACTGTAATGTGACTGTAGATGATTGTTCAGTCACTGTAATGTGACTTTAGATGATTGTTCAGTCACTGTAATGTGACTTTAGATGATTGTTCAGTCACTGTATTGTGACTTTTACTGAAGATATTTACAGCAATTTACAAATCGGTTTAGTCATCTACAACTTGGTCTAGTCATGTAAATGATGAGAAGAGAAATGATGTAGCATCAGAAGTCACTCGTACTGTCAGGAACCAGTAAATGTCTGCCAAAGAGCGGGCCAGGAGCTGTGCCTCGACCTTCCTTCCCTCTTTCAGAACCTGCCTGGTTGGAACATTACCATCTCCATCCAGTACTCAGGTGGTTCATACCACCATCTCCTCCCATCCCCTCTACTCCCTGTGCTTCTTCCTTCATTCTTGCCTTCCATTATTCCCTCCTTCCTCCCTGCCTTGCCCTCCCTCCCTCTCTCCCTGACTCACCTGGTGTGGGGCGTTCACGTAGTGTAGGAGGCTATCCTCCACCTGGTAGAAGTCTTCCTTCTGCAGCAGGAAGGTGTTATCTGTGGGAGGAGCAGTCAGAGGTGAGAAGGGAGGTAGGTCACACTGGCGTCAGGGAAGATGGCAATGAATCGCCAGTAATTTTTTTTTTTTTTGTATTTAGCAAAAAATTGCATGCATGAGCAGCGTGTGTTGCTGCGTTATGTGATAGTAACACAGTGGGACAGATGCTGGTAGTGTTGAAATGTGTCAACCTGATTTGGGAGACTTACTACTACTACTACTACTACTACTACTACTACTACTACTACTACTATTACTACTACTACTGATACTACTACTACTACTACTACTGATACTACTACTACTACTACTGATACTACTACTACTACTCATACTACTACTACTACTGATACTACTACTACTACTGATACTACTACTACTACTACTACTACTACTGATACTACTACTGATACTACTGATACTACTGATACTACTACTACTACTGATACTACTACTACTACTGATACTACTGCTACTACTACTACTACTACTACTACTACTACTACTGATACTACTACTACTACTACTGATACTACTACTACTACTACTACTACTGATACTAATATTACTGATACTACTACTGCTACTACTACTACTACTGATACTACTACTACTACTATACTACTAACTGCTACTACTACTACTACTACTACTACTACTACTACTACTACTACTACTACTGATACTACTACTACTACTACTACTGATACTACTACTACTACTACTACTACTACTACTACTGATACTACTACTACTACTACTACTGCTGCTGCTGCTGTTGCTGATGATGATGCTGCTGCTGCTACTACTACTGCTACTATTATTACTACTACTACTACTGCTATTGCTACTACTACTACTACTACTACTACTACTGCTGCTGCTGCTGCTGCTGCTGCTGCTGCTGCTGCTGCTGCTGCTGCTGCTGCTGCTGCTGCTACTACTACTGCTACTATTATTACTACTACTACTACTGCTATTGCTACTACTACTACTACTACTACTACTACTACTACTACTACTGCTGCTGCTGCTGCTGCTGCTGCTGCTGCTGCTGCTGCTGCTGCTGCTGCTGCTGCTGTTGGTGCTGCTGCTTACCAGTGAAGGGGGGGGGAGTAGACAGAACAAATATAGAGGTGTGAGAGCTGTGGGAGGCTGGTAGACTAACCTACCCAAGGAAGTCCTGGAATACACAGAAACGAATCGTCGCGGAAACGATTCTTCTAGCTGTATTTCTACTTAATTAGGGCAGTGAGGATGTCGTCAAATATTACATTAAAGGTGCATCAGCTTCGGCAGCTTCAAAAGTTTCCTTCCAGCAGCGCTGGAGTTACTATCACTTGGGAACAACATCTCTCAAGAATGTTTATGAAGGTGTCTCCACCATCCCAGAGCGAGGCCAACAAACAATGTAAGAGGCTGGGAAAATAATGAAAGGGGAAAGGAGAAGATTTTGGATCACATAATAAATCTAAAATATCTTCTCAATATATATATATATATATATATATAAATTTTATATATATATATATATATTAAAATATATATATATATTTTTATATATATTTTATATATATGTATATATATATGAGATGGTGAGTCCTTACATGCCTACGAGTACATACTGATGCCATGGAAGGGATGGACGGGGAGGATGACATAGAGATCGAATAGAATATCAGACCTTAGTACTTTCCCTTATTAGTAATTGTATCAGTCCTGGGCCTTCTGTTCTGTGTGTGTGTGTGTGTGTGTGTGTGTGTGTGTGTGTGTGTGTGTGTGTGTGTGTGTTTTGTGTGTGGGGTGTGTGTGTGTGTGGTGTGTGTGGAGAGAGAGGGAGAGAAAGTTGGGCTAAACTATACAGATGAGAATATTCACTTACACTGGTTCCCACCTACACACGTCACACAGGGGACTCACCTACACACGTCACACAGGGGACTCACCTACACACGTCACACAGGGGGACTCACCTACACACGTCACACAGGGGACTCACCTACACACGTCACACAGGGGACTCACCTACACACGTCACACAGGGGACTCACCTACACACGTCACACAGGGGACTCACCTACACACGTCAACAGGGGACTCACTACACCGTCACACGGAGACTCACCTACACACGTCACACAGGAGACTCACCTACACACGTCACACAGGGACTCACCTACACACGTCACACAGGAACTCACCTCCACGTACATAGGAGACTCACCTACACACGTCAAAACAGGGGACTCACCTACACACGTCACACAGGGACTCACCTACACACGTCACACAGGAGACCACCTACACAGCACACAGGGGACTCACCTACACACGTCACACAGGGGACTCACCTAAAACAGTCACACAGGAGACTCACCTACACACGTCACACGGGGACTCACCTACACACGTCCCCAAAGGAGACTCACCTACACACGTCACACAGGGACTCACCTACACACGTCCACACAGGGGACTCACCTACACACGTCACACAGGGGACTCACCTACACACGTCACACAGGGGACTCACCTACACACGTCACACAGGAGACTCACCTACACACGTCACACAGGGGACTCACCTACACGTCACACAGGGGACTCACCTACACACGTCACACAGGAGACTCACCTACACACGTCACACAGGGGCTCACCTACACACGTCACACAGGGGACTCACTACACACGTCACACGGAGACTCACCTACACACGTCACACAGGGGGACTCACCTACACACGTCCACAGGGGACTCACCTACACACGTCACACAGGGGACTCACCTACACACGTCACACAGGAGACTCACCTACACACGTCACACAGGGGACTCACCTACACACGTCACACAGGGGACTCACCTACACACGTCACACAGGGGACTCACCTACACACGTCCACAGGGATCACCTACACACGTCACACAGGGACTCACCTACACACGTCACACAGGGGACTCACCTACACACGTCACACAGGGGACTCACCTACACACGTCACACAGGAACCCACCTACACCGTCACACAGGGGACCACCTACACACGTCACACAGGGGACTCACCCTACACCGTCACACAGGAGACTCACCTACACACGTCACACAGGGATCACCTAACCACGTCACACAGGGACTCACCAACACACGTCCACAAGGAGACTCACCTACACACGTCACACAGGGGACTCACCTACACACGTCACACAGGGGACTCACCTACACACGTCACACAGGGGACTCACCTACACACGTCACACAGGAGACTCACCTACACACGTCACACAGGGGACTCACCTACACACGTAACGGGGGACTCACCTACAAAACGTCACAAAAGGAGCCACCTACACACGTCACACAGGGGATCACCTACACACGTCACACAGGGGACTCACCTACACACGTCACACAGGGGACTCACCTACACACGTCACACAGGGGACTCACCTACACACGTCACACAGGGGACTCCCCTACACACGTCGCACAGGGACTAAACCTACACACGTCACACAGGGGGACTCACCAACACACGTCACACAGGGGACTCACCTACACACGTCACACAGGGGACTCACCTACACACGTCACACAGGAGACTCACCTACACACGTCACACAGGGGACTCACCTACACACGTCACACAGGGGACTCACCTACACACGTCACACAGGAGACTCACCTACACACGTCACACAGGAGACCCACCTACACACGTCACACAGGGGACTCACCTACACACGTCACACAGGGGACTCCCCTTTACACACGTCAAAACAGGGGACTCACCTACACACGTCACACAGGGGACTCACCTACACCACGCACACAGGGGATCACCTACACACGTCACACAGGGACTCACCTACACACGTCACACGGGGGACTCACCTACACACGTCACCCCAGGAGACTCACCTACACACGTCACACAGGGGACTTCACCTACACACGTCACACAGGGGACTCCCCTACACACGTCACACAGGAGACACTACACACGTCCACAGGGGACTCACCTACACACGTCACACAGGGGACTCACCTACAACGTCACACAGGGCACTCACCTACACACGTCGCACAGGAGACCACCTACACACGTCACACAGGGGACTCACCTACACCTCGCACAGGGGCCCCTCACCTACACACGTCACACAGGGACTCACCTACACACGTCACACAGGGACCTCACCTAACAACGTCACACAGGGGACTCACCTACACACGCACACAGGGAACTAAACCTTTACACACGTCACACAGGGACTCACCTACACACGTCACACAGGGACTCACCCTACACACGTCACACAGGGGAACTCACCTACACACGTCACACAGGGGACTCACCTACACACGTCACACAGGAGACTCACCTACACACGTCACACAGGGGACTCACCTACACACGTCACACAGGGGACTCACCTACACACGTCACACAGGGGACTCACCTACACACGTCACACAGGAGACTCACCTACACACGTCACACAGGGGACTCACCTACACACGTCACACAGGGGACTCACCTACACACGTCACACAGGGAATCACCTACACACGTCACACAGGGGACTCCCCTACACACGCCCACACAGGGGACTCACCTACCACGTCACACAGGGGACTCACCTACACACGTCACACGGGGGACTCACCTACACACGTCACACAGGGGACTCACCTACACACGTCACACGGGGGACTCCCTACACACGTCACACAGGGGACTCACCTACACACGTCACACAGGGGACCTCACCTACACACGTCACACAGGGGACTCACCTACACACGTCACACAGGGGACTCACCTACACACGTCACACAGGGGACTCACCTACACACGTCACACAGGGGACTCACCTACACACGTCACACAGGGGACTCACCTACACACGTCACACAGGGACTCCCCTACACACGTCACAACAGGGACTCACCTACACAGGGTCACACAGGGACTCACCTACACACGTCACACGGGGACTCACCCACACAAGTCACACAGGAGACTCACCTACACACGTCACACAGGGGACTCACCTACACACGTCACACAGGAGACTCACCTACACACGTCACACAGGGGACTCACCTACACAAGTCACACAGGAGACTCACCTACACACGTCACACAGGGGACTCATATACACACGTCACACAGGAGACTCACCTACACACGTCACACAGGGGACTCACCCACACAAGTCACATAGGACACTCACCTACACACGTCACACAGGGGACTCACCCACACAAGTCACACAGGAGACTCACCTACACACGTCACACAGGGGACTCACCTACACACGTCACACAGGAGACTCACCTACACACGTCACACAGGGGACTCACCCACACAAGTCACACAGGAGACTCACCTACACACGTCACACAGGGGACTCACCTACACAAGTCACACAGGAGACTCACCTACACACGTCACACAGGGGACTCACCTACACAAGTCACACAGGAAACTCACCTACACAGTCACACAGGGGACTCACCTACACAAAGTCACACAGGAGACTCACCTAAAACACGTCACACAGGGGACTCACCCACAAAAGTCACACAGGAGACTCACCTACACACGTCACACAGGGGACTCACCCACACAAGTCACACAGGAGACTCACCTACACACGTCACACAGGGGACTCACCCACACAAGTCACACAGGAGACTCACCTACACACGTCACACGGGGGAAACCACCCACACAAGTCACACGGGGAAACTCACCTACACACGTCACACAGGGGACTCACCCACACAAGTCACACAGGAGACTCACCTACACACGTCACACAGGGGACTCACCCACACAAGTCACACAGGAGACTCACCTACACACGTCACACAGGAGACTCACCTACACAATTCACACAGGAGACTCACCTACACACGTCACACAGGGGACTCACCCACACAAGTCACACAGGAGACTCACCTACACACGTCACACAGGGGACTCACCCACACAAGTCACCGGGAGACTCACTACACCGTCACACAGGGACCACCCACACAAGTCACACAGGAGACTCACCACACACGTCACACTAGGGAGACTCACCTACACAAGTCACACAGGACTCACCTACACAGTCCACACAGGGACTAAACCCACACCAATCGCAAAAGGAGACTCACCTACACACGTCACACAGGGACTCACCCACACAAGTCACACAGGAGACTCACCTACACACGTCACACAGGGGACTCACCCGCACAAGTCACACAGGAGACTCACCTACACACGTCACACAGGGGACTCACCCACACAAGTCGCACAGGAGACTCACCTACACACGTCACACAGGGGACTCACCCACACAAGTCGCACAGGAGACCACTACACACTCACACAGGGGACTCACCCACACAAGTCACACAGGAGACACACCTACACACGTCACACGGGGGCTCACCACACAAGTCGCACGGAGACTCACCTACACAGTCACACAGGGGACTCACCCACACAAGTCGCACAGGAGACTCACCTACACACGTCACACAGGGGACTCACCTACACACGTCACACAGGGGACTCACCTACACACGTCACATAGGGGACTCACCTACACACGTCACACAGGGGACTCACCTACACAAGTCACACAGGAGACACCTACACACGTCACACAGGGAACTCACCTACACACGTCACACAGGGGACTCACCTACACACGTCACACAGGAGACTCACCTACACACGTCACACAGGGGACTCACCTACACATGTCACACAGGGGACCCACCTACACACGTCACACAGGGGACTCACCTACACACGTCACTGAGGGGACTCACCTACACACGTCACTGAGGGGACTCACCTACATACTCATGAGGGGGCCACCTAAAACACGTCACTGGGGGGAAAACTCACCTACACACGTCACTGAGGGAACTCACCTACACACGTCACTGAGGGGGCTCACCTACACACGTCACTGAGGGGACTCACCTACACACGTCACTGAGGGAACTCACCTACACACGTCACTGAGGGAACTCACCTACACACGTCACTGAGGGAACTCACCTACACACGTCACTGAGGGAACTCACCTACACACGTCACTGAGGGAACTCACCTACACACGTCACTGAGGGAACTCACCTATACAACACCTGAGGAAGGAGAAGACGTGTGCTCGTGTAGCTGTCGCACCAGCGTCGACAACCACAGTGTAGACACTCTGCCACGCCCACGCCTTACCACCGCCCACGCCCACACACGGAGACTCACGCCGCCCAGGACTGCCTGCACCAGCAGAGAGAGAATGAGAGAAAAAAAGAGAGGGAAAGAGAGAGAGAGATTAACGATAATTCACAATATTAAATATCCGAAATTCCGCATATAAAAAATAGACGAAAAAAATCACCTAATATTCCTAAAATGGCTCCTGATCCAAGGAACATGAGCTATTTTCCTCTTCCTCGGATCAATTCTGATTACCTACCACTCCCCTCGTCCCGTTTTTTTTACTATTTGCTTAATAATAATAAAAATTTAATATAATAATAATAAAAAATAATAATAATGGTATAAACATCTGTCTAAACCAATAATAATAATAATAATTATTATTATCTTTATCTTTACAGGTAAGTGGTGAATGTACTCACACTCGACTAAGGTGAGTACGTTGTCATATCTTCTGACGGATACATTGTCATAGTCTTGTGAGGAGTACATTGTCATAGTCTTGTGAGGAGTACATTGTCATAGTCTTGTGACGAGTACATTGTCATGTCTTGTGACAGTACATTGTCATAGTCTTGTGACGAGTACATTGTCATAGTCTTGTGACGAGTACATTGTCATAGTCTTGTGACGAGTACATTGTCATAGTCTTGTGACGAGTACATTGTCATAGTCTTGTGAGGAGTACATTGTCATAGTCTTGTGACGAGTACATTGTCATAGTCTTGTGACGAGTACATTGTCATAGTCTTGTGAGGAGTACATTGTCATAGTCTTGTGACGAGTACATTGTCATAGTCTTGTGAGAGTACATTGTCATAGTCTTGTGACGAGTACATTGTCATGTTGTAGGAGTACATTGTCATGTCCTGTGACGAGTACTTGTCAGCCCTTGTGACGAGTACATTGTCATGTCTTGTGAGGAGTCCCATTGTCATAGTTTTGTGACGAGTAATGTCATAGTCTTGTGACGAGTAACATTGCATAGTCTTGTGAGGAGTACATTGTCATAGTCTAGTGACGAGTACATTTCAGTCTGTAGAGTACATTGTCATAGTCTTGGACAGTACATTGTCATAGTCTTTGAGGAGTACATTGTCATAGTCTTGTGACATACATTGTCATGTCTTGTGGACATGACTATTTCATAGTCTTGTCGAGTCATTGTCATTAGTCTTGTGACGAGACATTGTCATTGTTTGTGAGGAGTACATTTGTTCATAGTCTTGTGACGAGTACATGTCAAAAGTACTGTGAGGAGTACATTGTCATTAGTCTTGTACGATACTTGTCATAGTCAGTGTGACGAGTACATGCATAGCTTGTGGAGTACTTGTCATATCTTGTGACGGATACATTGTCATAGTCTTGTGACGAGTACATTGTCATATTTTTGTGACGAGTACATTGTCATAGTCTTGTGACGAGTACATTGTCATACTCTTGGGGTGAGTACATATACAAACGTTGAGTGAAAGATAATCACTCAAGTGGTAAGTAAACACTCAAGTGGAAGGCAGTTCAATGTAGATAAATGCAAGGTTGTGAAGCTTGGGAGTGTCCCATAACCCTAGCACTTATAAGTTAAATAATGTAGAACTTAGCCATACAGATTGCGAAAAGGACTTGGGGGTTATGGTAAGCAGCAACCTTAAACCAAGACAGCAATGCCTAAGCGTACGTAATAAGGCAAATAGATTACTGGGATTTATATCAAGAAGTGTAAGCAACAGAAGTCCAGAGGTCATACTGCAGCTTTATACATCATTAGTAAGGCCTCACCTAGATTATGCAGCTCAGTTCTGGTCTCCATATTACAGAATGGACATAAATTCGTTAGAAAACATTCAGCGTAGGATGACTAAATTAATACATAGCATTAGAAATCTTTCCTTATGAAGAAAGATTGAAGACTTTAAGTTACATTCACTTGTTAGACGAAGAATGAGGGGAGACCTGATCGAAGTGTATAAGTGGAAGATAGGTATTATAAAGGGGATATTAATAAGGTCTTGAGGATGTCTCTCCAAGAGAGAACCCGCAGTAATGGATTTAAATTAGATAAGTTTAGATTTAGAAAGGACATAGGAAAGTATTGGTTTGGAAATAGGGTAGTAGATGAGTGGAACAGTCTACCTAGTTGGGTTATTGAGGCTGGGACTTTGGGTAGTTTCAAATTTAGGTTGGATAAGTACATGAGTGGGAGGGGTTGGATTTGAGTGGGACTTTCACATCAGAGCTTATTTCTTGGTTGGCATTGAAAATTGAGTTGGTCAAATGTTTTGTTAGTGGGATGAATTGTAAGGACGTGCCTAGTATGGGCCAGCAGGCCTCCTGCAGTGTTCCTCCTTTCTTATGTTCTTATGTTATGTTCTTATACAAGGAACTACAGGTAGATACAATAACTAAAAGGTACTACAAGTAGATACAATAACTACAAGGAACTACAGGTAGATACAATAACTACAAGGTACTACAAGTAGATACAATAACTACAAGGTACTACAAGTAGATACAATAACTACAAGGTACTACAAGTAGATACAATAACTACAAGGTACTACAAGTAGATACAATAACTACAAGGTACTACAAGTAGATACAATAACTACAAGGTACTACAAGTAGATACAATAATACAAGGTACTACAAGTAGATACAATAACTACAAGGTACTACAAGTAGATACAATAACTACAAGGTACTACAAGTAGATACAATAACTACAAGGTACTACAAGTAGATACAATAACTACAAGGAACTACAGGTAGATACAATAACTACAAGGAACTACAAGTAGATACATTAACTACAAGGTACTACAAGTAGATACAATAACTACAAGGTACTACAAGTAGATACAATAACTACAAGGTACTACAAGTAAATACAATAACTACGAGGAACTACAAGTAGATACAATAACTACAAGGAACTACAAGTAGATACAATAACTACAAGTAGATACAATAACTACAAGTAGATACAATAACTACAAGGAACTACGAGTAGATACAATAACTACAAGGAACTACAAGTAGATACAATAACTACAAGGTACTACAAGTAATACAATAACTACAAGGTACTACAAGTAGATACAATAACTACAAGGAACTACAAGTAGATACAATAACTACAAGGTACTACAAGTAGATACAATAACTACAAGGTACTACAAGTAGATACAATAACTACAAGGTACTACAAGTAGATACAATAACTACAAGGTACTACAAGTAGATACAATAACTACAAGGTACTACAAGTAGATACAATAACTACAAGGTACTACAAGTAGATACAATAACTACAAGGTACTACAAGTAGATACAATAACTACAAGGTACTACAAGTAGATACAATAGCTACAAGGAACTACAGGTAGATACAATAACTACAAGGTACTACAAGTAGATACAATAACTACAAGGAACTACAAGTAGATACAATAGCTACAAGGTACTACAAGTAGATACAATAACTACAAGGTACTACAAGTAGATACAATAACTACAAGGAACTACAAGTAGATACAATAACTACAAGGTACTACAAGTAGATACAATAACTACAAGGAACTACAGGTAGATACAATAGCTACAAGGTACTACAAGTAGATACAATAACTGCAAGGTACTACAAGTAGATACAATAACTACAAAGAACTACAAGTAGATACAATAACTACAAGGAACTACAAGTAGGTACAATAACTACAAGGTACTACAAGTAGATACAATAACTACAAGGAACTACAAGTAGATACAATAACTACAAGGTACTACAAGTAGATACAATAACTACAAGGTACTACAAGTAGATACAATAACTACAAGGAACTACAAGTAGATACAATAACTACAAGGTACTACAAGTAGATACAATAACTACAAGGTACTACAAGTAGATACAATAACTACAAGGTGCTACAAGTAGATACAATAACTACAAGGTACTACAAGTAGATACAATAACTACAAGGTACTACAAGTAGATACAATAACTACAAGGTGCTACAAGTAGATACAATAACTACAAGGTACTACAAGTAGATACAATAACTACAAGGTACTACAAGTAGATACAATAACTACAAGGTACTACAGGTAGATACAATAACTACAAGGTACTACAAGTAGATACAATAACTACAAGGTACTACAAGTAGATACAATAACTACAAGGTACTACAAGTAGATACAATAACTACAAGGGGTAAGCTGGAGCTACTTAAGAAAGAACATTAATATTAATAAGCTCCAGCCAGCCAGCCATCTAGCCAGCCAGCTATCTAGCCAGCCATCTAGCCAGCCAGCCAGCCAGCCAGCCAGCCAGTCAGCCAGCCAGCCATCTAACCAGCCAGCTATATAGCCAGCCATCTAGCCAGCCAGCCAGCCAGCCAGCCAGCCAGCCAGCCAGCCAGCCAGCCAGCCAGCCAGCCAGCCAGCCAGCCAGCCAGCCAGCCAGCCAGGGAATGTGGGAGGGAGGAAAGGCAAAATGGAAGGAAAGAAAGATGATAATGAGGAATAATAAATATTAAAGATGATATAAAGAGAAATAACAATGAGAAATAATATAGTGAACAGGAAAGGATGAATAATAGATGGTGCGAAATAATAGATAATGAGAAAAAATAGATAATGGGAATGATAGATATTATGTACTCTTAACGCTAGATTTACAAACATTTTTACTAGTGGAAGAATGAAGAGAGAGAGAGAGAGAGAGAGAGAGAGAGAGAGAGACATTTAACAGTGCCACAGCAAAAATTTCGCGAGTAATAAAGTGAGCCTCGATGGCTGGACCAGACCTGTATGACACCTCTGTACGACACAGTGTCTGTCATCTGTCTGTCTATGGCTGGACCAGACCTGTATCACACCTCTGTACGACACAGTGTCTGTCATCTGTCTGTCTATGGCTGGACCAGACCTGTATCACACCTCTGTACGACACAGTGTCTGTCATCTGTCTGTCTATGGCTGGACCAGACCTGTATTCACACCTCTGTACGACAACAGTGTCTGTCATCTGTCTGTCTATGGCTGAATCA